TGGGATTCTCCCCCACTTCCACTGGGAGGGGCAGATGCCCCTGTGGCACTGCCCCTTGAACCAGTCCTGGAGGCTTATGCCCCCTTGGGAAGCCCCTGGCTGTGTTAGGGTGTGAGGGGTGCTGTACCCCCCCCAGACACACTTGCTGCCCCCCCCCAGGAAGACGCTGAGCATTGAGGACTTCGAGATCGGGCGCCCGCTGGGCAAGGGCAAGTTCGGCAATGTGTACCTGGCGCGGGAGAAGGGCTCGCACTTCCTCGTAGCCCTCAAGGTGCTCTTCAAGTCGCAGATGGAGAAGGAGGGTGTGGAGCACCAGCTGCGTCGCGAGATCGAGATCCAGGCCCACCTCCGGTGCGCCACAATGGGACTGCGCCACCCTGTTGTCTCCTGCTCCATCTAGGGTGCGAGGGGTGGGGGTGGTCTTGCCTCCTGCTCACTTTATTTCTTTACCCCACCAGGCACCCCAACATCTTGCGGCTCTACAACTACTTCCATGACCGGCGCCGCGTGTACCTGATCCTGGAGTACGCGCCACGCGGCGAGCTCTACAAGGAGCTGCAGAAGTGCCGCCGCTTTGATGAGCAGCGCAGCGCCACGGTCAGCTGGGGTGTGGGGGCACCCTCTCGCTGCAGGCCGGGTTGGCTCTGGGCAATGGCAGGCACCGAGGAGGCTAGGGGGGGTCTCCCCAGGAGGGGAGTAGGTAATTTTGGGGGGCTGGGGTGCAGGCTGGCCTGACCCCTAGGGTCGGGGGGCCTTATGTGACCCCTGCCCCCCTTTACCCCCCCCCCAGATCATGGAGGAGCTGGCAGACGCACTGATCTACTGCCATGCCAAGAAGGTGATCCACCGCGACATCAAGCCTGAGAACCTGCTGCTGGGCCTCAAGGGCGAGCTCAAGATCGCTGACTTCGGCTGGTCGGTCCACGCGCCCTCGCTGCGGTCAGTGCCAGGGGGGCGGGGGCAGTGCAGGGGGTGGGCTGGGGCCCCCCAAAACCAGGCTTTCACAGCCCCTTCTTGCCCCCACAGGCGCAAGACTATGTGTGGGACACTGGACTACCTGCCGCCTGAGATGATTGAGGGGCAGCCGCACAACGAGAAGGTGGACCTGTGGTGCGCCGGTGTGCTGTGCTATGAGCTGCTGGTTGGGCACCCGCCCTTTGAGAGTGCCTCCCACACTGAGACCTACCGCCGCATCACCAAGGTCAGCCAGCCCCCGCGTGGCCCACCCAGAGCTGGCTGCATCGTGGCAGCAGGGATGTGTAGAGGGAGCAAGCTCCATGCCCAACCCCTGGGGTGGCAGCATTGGCGCTGGATACCGGGGCCGTGTGGGTCTCGCACCCCAGAGCCAGCTGCACCCCTGCGCTGGGGGTGGGGCGCTACGCGCAGGTGACACCTGCCCCGTGTGTGTTCCCACAGGTGGACCTGCGCTTCCCGCCTACCATGCCCGAGGGCGCCCGCGACCTCATCGGCAAGCTGCTGCGGCACGTCCCGGCTGAGCGCCTGCCTCTGCGCGCTGTGCTCGAGCACCCCTGGGTGCGCGCCAACTCCCGCCGCGTGCTGCCCCCTGCCTATGCCCCCTAGCCCCCTGCTCCCCTGCGGGGGGCCTGGTCCTACCCTCGTGGGCTGGGGCTCCCCCCCATGTTGTCATTTTTTTGTGTTTAATAAAAGTCTTGATTTTTACAGCTGGGTCTGGGTGCTGTTTTGCTGGGGGTGCCTGGGGGCACGGGGCGGGCACACTGCTAGCACACATGTGTGCACCCGCATGTCCTGGGGGGCGCAGTCCTGCTGTGGGGGGCAAGATTCCCCCCTCGCAGGACCCTGGGGTGGAGGGAAGAAGCCTGCGGGGGAGGGGGGGACCTGCCCTCCAGGGGCTGTTGCTATGACTT